ATGTCCAGCTTAAAAATTGAGAAGACACTCAAAGATAGACCTTCCATGTGCATAGACTGGCAAGGTATGTTGAAAATAACTAATTACTGAAAGCAATCTATACATTCAATGCAATCCTCATCAAAGTTCCAATGTTATTCTTCAAAATACTAGAAAAAAATAGTCCTAAAATGTATACAGAAGCACAAAAGACTTCGAATAGCCAAAGCCATTCTAAATAGGAAGGTTAATACTAGAGGCATCGCAATACCCAATCTCAAACTATACTACAGAGCTATATTTAAAAAATAGCATGGAACTGGCTCAGAAGCAGACACATTGACCAGTGGAATGGAAGAGAGGACTTAGAAACAAACCCACAGAGGTATGGCCATCTAGTCTTCCACAAAGCAATAAAAAACATACATTGGGACTAGAAGAATGGCTCAGTGGTTAAGAGCACTGGCTGCTCTTCCAGAGGATCAGGGTTTGGTTCTCAGCACCCACATGGCAGCTAACAACCATTCATAACTCCAGTTCCAGGGGATCCAACACCCTCTTCTGGTCTCCATGGGCATTGCTTGAGCAGGTACACTTACATACATGCAGGCAAAACACTCATACACATAAAATAAAAAGAAATCTTTAGGGCTGGAGAGATGGCTCAGTGGTTAAAAGCACTGACTGCTCTTTCAGAGGACCTGGGTTCAATTCCCAGCAACCACATGGTGGCTACAAACCATCCTTAACTCCAGTTTCAGGGGAATCTGACGCCCTCTTCTGACCTCTGTGGCATTGCACGACACGGGTGCACTCACATACATGCAGGCAATACACTCATACACATAAAATAAAAAAATAAATCTTTAAAAACAAAACATATATTGGAGGAAAGTCAGCGTCTTTAATAAATGGTGCCAAGGAAGTTGGATTTCCACATGTAGAGGAATGAAACTAGATTCGTATGTATCACCCTGCACAAAAGTCAATCCAAAATAAATCAAAGACCTTACTTAGTATAAGGCCTGAAACTTCAATATGTAGGCACAGGGAAAGGCTTTCGGGAGAGGAATCCAGTAGTATAGGAAATAAGCCCAACAATTAACAAATAGGATTGCATGAAAGTAAAATACTTTTGCACAGCAAAGGAAATAATCTGCACAGTGAAGAGACAGTTTACAGAATGTAAGTAAATGTTTGACAACTGTATATCTCACAAGGGATTAATGCCTAGACTCATAAAGAACTCCAAAAGTTACACTAAAATAACCTCATCCAATCAATAAATGAGCAAATGAACTCAACTGTTCTCAGAAGAAATGGCCAATAAATATTTGAAAGCATGTTCAGTATCCTCATCCATCAAAGAAATGCAGATTAAAACTGCAATTAATATTCCATCTCACCCAAGTCATAATGACTATCATCAAGAGAATGCTGGCAAGAATGTGAAGAAAGAGAAACCACTATCTACTGATGGTGGGATGTAGACTAGAGCAGCTGCTGTGTGAATCAGTGTGGAGGGTCCTCAAAAAGAAAATTGAAAAAACATTGTGACTTAGCGATAGGACTTCTGGGTATACACCCCAAAATTCTAAGCCAGTATACCACAAAGATACCTGCACATTCATGTTTATTACTGCATTTCCAAGATACAGAGAACATAGATGTCCTTCAGCAGACAAGCGGATGAAGAAAACCTGCCTTATATCCACACTGGAAAGTTATTCAGCTGTAAAGAAGGATGAAATATCATTTGCAAGAAAATTGACAGAACTGAAGATCATCATGTGAAATAAGCCAGGTTCACAAAACAAATACCGATTCTCTCACATCTGAGGAATGTAGGTTTAAATAAGAATATGTGTTTATATATATTTTACATAGTATACATGACACGAATGTAGAAGGGAGCCTATGAGGCGGGAACAGGAAGTATGGGGGCGGGGAGAACAGAGAGTAAAGGGGGCAAAGTGAATATCATGCTTTGTCTTATGTGAAATCTAAACTTAAATATATGCATATGTATTCATACACACATGACCTGAAACCCCCGATCATGTGGGGCAAAGATGGGGACTAATGGGGAGGAAGGGGATGGGAGAGGGGCAGATATGAACAAGTTACAATGATGTATATGTGAAAATGTCATAATGAAATTATTTGTATTCTAACTACAAAATTTAGAGTAAAAAAGTATAAGCATTTTAAAACTCTTCACACATCTTAAAATTAGCATAATTGTATTTTACTTTGGAAATTGCTGAATCTTTAGAAAATTCCCCAAAGGGCTATAGAATAAAATTTCACTAAATTGTGCTTTTGATTTTTGTTTTTTTTTTTTTCTTTTTATTGGTCTTTTTGAGACAGGGTCTCGGTGTAGCCCCAGCTGGCATGGATTGGCTATGGAAACCAGGCTGGCCTTGAACTCACGGAGACCCGCCTGCCTCTGCCTCCCACCTCCCATGCCACCACACCCACATAACCCTATTTTGAAGGCAAGATTACTTTTTTAAATCACTAAATTCAATTTGTGCTCCCCTTGGGTGTGTGACCATCCAGCCCACGGCAGTTCATACAGTCTGTCATTTGTATTAAGGCCTATTATGTAAAATTTGTGTCCAGAGATGTCCCTCAGTGCAAGTTCATCCACCAGGGTTTAGTCAGCCTATTCTAGAGTCCCTCCCTTTAAGAAGATCAGCTCTTCCTCAGCCAGCAGTAATCAGCTGCCAATAATTCTCCAACTAAGACAGTGGCTTGCTGTTCATTTCCACAGTTCTGTACTGGGTGTTTTCAGTTCTTTTAAAAAATATTTATTACTTTTTATTTTATGTGTATGAGTGTATTGCCTGAATGTGTGTAAGTGCACCCATATCATGCATGGCCTATGGAAGTCAAAAAAGGGTGTTGGATCCCCTAGAACTGAAGAACCATTTCTCCAGCCTGTTTTCAACTCTTTATATAGACACCTTGGCCTCCCAAGTGCTGCAAACACTTTTACCTACCTGAACCAACTCTCCAGCTTCTTTTCCTCTCTCCCTCCCTCCCTCCCTCCTTCCCTCACTCCATTCCTCCCTCCTTCCCTCTCTCCTTCCCTCCCTCCCTCTCTCCTTCCCTCCCTCCCTTCCTTTCCACAGGGTTTTACATTTTATTGCTACTATAGTATAATAGACCCTAGAGCTGCTTCCTCCCCTCCCTCCTTCCTGGGGTCAGGCTTTCCCAGGAGCCCCTGCCTGGGTTGCTCTGACTGTGGCTCAGGGTCTCAAAGCTGGGATTTATGTCACTTCATTTCATTTCAGCTGTGATATCACACACATCATGTAGACCTGGATGGCCTCGATCTCACAGAGATCTACCACCAGCCTCTGCCTCCCAAGTGCTGAGATTAAACTATGCACCTCCATGACTGGCACCTTTTAAGACAAGATTTCTGGAACTCCCTACGTAGCCCAGGCTGGCCTTGAAAACAGGGCCATTCTCCTGATTCTGTGCCCCGAGTGCAGGGATTACAATTTAGCCACCAGGCCCTGCTTCAATTCATTTTCTCATGACACATATCTGCCACCTAAAAGTGTAGTAACTCTTACTTCACCAAGGGTTCTTGATCTTTACTTAAAATAGAATTTAACTTTCTTCTTCACACCATTTCATTTTTTTGCTAACCAACTAAGTCCATTTAGTGCTGCCCATGTGTACATGGGTGTGGGACCATCCACCGGAGCATGGGAAACCTGCCAGTGACCAGAACCTCAAAAAGAATGATTCTCCCTTCCCCAGCAGCTATCAACTGCCAGTAACTCCTCAGTAAGGATTGGGGCTTGAAGACCATCTGCTCCATCTATGCTGAGACGTTGGTTGGCTTGATCTTGTCTAGGTCTTGTGCAGGTAACCTCAGCTACTGTTGAGTTCATGATTACGATGGCCATGTCATGTCCAGAAGACAGCACCCCATAGCACTCCTCCCCATTCTGAGACTCTTAAGTTCTTTCCATCCCTTCTTCTACAATGTTCTTCGAGCCTAGGTGGTGGTGGGTTTAAAGATAGAAAGTCCTGTGTAGTTCTTTATTCTCAGCACTTTGACTGGTTATGTATGGTTTTTTGTTTTCCAGGTAAAGTATCATAGAGCCCAGGGTGGTCTGGAACTTGCTATCACTATGAGGCTAAGGGCTGTCCTTGAACTGATCCTCCTGCCTCCACCTCCCAAGGGTTGGGATTACAGGTGTATGTGTGTGTGTGTGTGTGTGTGTGTGTGTGTGTGCCACCACACTGAGCTTTATCAATAATTTATACAGTACTTAAAAAAAAAAAAACCCTCATGATTTAGAGAACTTCAAAAACTTAATTTTGAGATACTGTCTCACTATGTACCCAGCCTGGAACTTGCTTTGTAAACCAGTCTGGCCTTGAATATTTGGTGATCCTCTTGCCTCAGAGTTTAGATTCTGGGGTTACAACGTGAGCCACCATGCCCCAGCTAAGAACATTTTTTCCATAGCCTCTCTGCATGATTTTCATATGAATATCAAATGTTTCTTATCTGACATTATCAGTGATCCTAGTGTTCTGACTATATAAACAAAAAAAATTTTTTTTTTGAGTCTCCCTGTAGCCCCAGCTGGCCTGGAACTTGCTATGCAAACCAGGCTGGCCTTGAATGCAGATATCCACCTACCTCTGCCTCCTGAGTGCTGGGAATAAAGATGTGCTGATCCCCTGGAACTGGAGTTACAGATGGTTGTTATCCACCATGTGGGTACTGGGAATCAAACCTGTTCCTCTATAAAAGCAACCAGTGCTCTTAATTGCTATCTCTCCAGCCCCAACAAATTATTTTATGTCTGTGCCTGCTTATCTATATATGCACGTGTGCTGGTGCCCATGGGGGCCAGAAGAGGGCATCAGATCCCCTGAAACTGGAGTTAATAGGTGGTTGTGTTGTCTGGTGTGGGTGCTGACAACTGAACCTGGTTCTTCTGCAAGTGCTCTTAACTGCTGAGTCTTCTCTCCAGTTCTATTATTATCTGAATATGGAACATCTCATGAATTTGCATATCATCACTGTCAGGGGTCATGCTAATCTTTTCTGCCATCAGTCCAGTTTTAGAACATGTGCTGCAAAGTGAGCACAGTTGACAAATTATCGAAAATGATCCTTAGCTTTCCTAGGGTCATGGCTGGAAATCTTTTCACCTTAGGCCATGTGTGTGATACTGTCTTAAAATTTGTCTGCTATTGCTACGAATACTGAATGCAGGGTCTCGTACATGCTAGATAAGCACTGTACTCTAATGAACCACAATCCCAGCCCTGTCATATTTATACTCTTCAGCTTTTTACAGTACTTTTAGAAGGATGGGCTAGGTGTGATGGTGCACGCCTTTAATCCCAGCACTTGGGGAGACAGAGGCAGGCCTATCGGACCTTCATGAGTTCGAGGCTAGCCTGGTCTACATAGTGAGTTGCAGGCCAGCTGGGGCTACAGGGAGACTGTCTCAAAAAGACCAAAAAAGAAAAAGAAAAAGAAAAAGAATTCGAAGGATGGAACTTCTAATTGGACATTTAGTAAGTTTAGGTCCCACCCATGAAGATACTATCTTCATTCCCGAAGTTATTTTTACAGTCCATTACTCTATGTCGGTACAGTTCTGGGAACTGTGAAAACAGCACTCAAAAGGTGAGCAGGTTATTTCTATCTAGTGAACCTTCCAAGTTCTGAACGACGTAACACACTAGAAATGGTTAAAGTGCCTCAAACTAGTTGTGTGTGGATCTTTAGGATTTGTTTGCAATATGTATTTTTGTACAGGGACAGGGGGTGCTGGGAGCATCACACTTGCTAGGCAAGTGTCCTACCACTGAGCTACATGCCCTGCCTGAAATACATGCTGTGGCACACGTCTCCCCCATAATAAAAAAACTTAAAATTTGAGGAATATTTATCATTTTGACCTTTTGTAAATATAATATTAAGTATATTTAGATTTTTGCAAGTTATCTCCAGAACACTTCATCTCTGAAATTCTATGCCTGTTTAAATTAGTTCCTGTTTCCCCTTTCTATATTGTCCACATTCTAAAACTGGTGGCCCAGCTAACCCCTAGTTTCATGCTCTCCCCACTTAGGGGACAGGGCAGTTTACTTGGGCCTGTATTTGATAGTATGTTTTCACAAGGGCGTGTCAACTTACCAATTCTCTTCTCAAATGTCCAAAGAAGCAATATCCATTAATAGAGAAATCTGAACATTGAACGGATGCAAACAAAACTCCCAGATGAAACCACTAGCAGGGCTTGCACTTCCCAATAGCTGGAAGACTTGAGAACAACATACACTTTTATTTTAAAAGTATTTTATTACTTTGTTTTACGTGTATGAGTGTTATGCCTGCATATACGTAAGTGCACCCGTGCCATGCAATGCCTGTGGAGGTTGGAAGAGGGCATCAGATCCCCTGGAACTGGAGTTAAGGACGGTTGTTAGCTCGAATATGGGTGCTGGGAATCGAACCCGGGTCCTCTGCAAGAGCAGCCAATGCTTTTAACTGCTGAGCCATCCCTCCAGCCCTCATTTCCACAAAAAAATACATGGATCTTGACCATTTGATTTCAAACTTGATAGGTGGGGGGGGGAAATTCTCACTCAAAATTAAAGCAGTAAGTTTGACACGAGGGTGGGGGGGTGTCTTTCAAATAAACCTTCATAATATTGCAAATTTTAAAATGTATTTTAGATTCTTTTGAAAATATTTTATATTTATGTGTGTGTCTATTGCCTGCATGTAGGTAAGTACACCCATGTCGTGAAATGCCCGCAGAAGACAGAAGAGGCTGTCGGATCCCCTGGAACTGGAGTTACTGCCGGTTGTTAGCTGCCACGTGGGTGCTGGGATACGAAACCGGGTCTTCTGCCAAGAACAGTCAAGTGTTCTTAACCGCTGAGCCATCTCTCCAGCCCCAGTGTTAGGGCTGGAGAGCTGTTCAGTGGTTAAGAGCACTGGCTGCTCTTAGAGGACCCAGGTTCAACTTCCAGCACCCACATGGTGCCCCAAGTCTGTAACTCCAGTTGCAGGGGATGCATTGCCCTCTTCTGGCCTCCGTGGGCATTGCATGACATGGGTGCACTTACATTTAGGCAAAACACATAAAAACATCAATAAAATTTTATTAATTTGTGTATGTGCATCTGAGAGTCTGTTCTCTCCTACCATGTGGGTACTGTGAATGAACTTAGCCTTTACTAGCTGAACCAACTCACTAGTCTTCAATACTGAATTTCTGTTGTCACAACAAAGCACTATGTTTGAGCTTCATAGTTCTCAAAATTGCCATGAAGCTCAAAAGAAAATAACAAAATAGCTCTTCTGGAATCCACTAGGAATGTCTACACATAGCATTTTCTTTTTTGAGACAGGGTCTCCCTGTAGCCCCATCTTACCTGAACTCACTAGGTCACCAGGCTGGCCTTGAACTAAGAGAGATCCGCCTGCCTGTGCTTCCCAAGTACTAGGATTAAAGAGGTGTACCATCACATCCAGCTACACATAGCTTTTAACCAAACCACTACCCTGAATTTTTATGTGAAATTGTCTTACTCACTTTCTGCAAATTCTGATCTTCTGTCAAGATTACTACTCCACAGGGTCACCACTGTAAGTGGGTACATATTCTTACAGATTTTAAAAAATTGTTATATATGCCACAATCTGTGGAGATCAGGACAACTAGCAAGAACCAGTTCTGTCCTTCTACTATGTGGGTTCCAGGGAATGAACTGAGATTGTCTGGCTTAGTAAGCCAAGTGCCTTTACCTGCTAAGCCATCTCACTGGCCCTTCTTATTCTATGTACAAGTGAATTTAAAATCTATAATCCAAAATTATTTAATATAAGCACTTTTCCTCAGGGACAGTTTTTAACTTAAAACTCTGTGACCCAAATACAGTTAAGCAGGAATCACTGCAGAGTTCAATCAGAACTATTTCTCTAATTTTTAAAATTTTTTGGTCTTTTTGAGACAGGGTCTCCCTGTAGCCCCAGCTGTCCTGGAACTATGTAGACCAGGCTGGCCTTGAACTCACAGAGCTCTGCCTGTCTCTGCCTCCCAAGTGCTGGGACTACAGGCGTGCGCCACCATGCCCGGCTTTTAATTTTTATGTGTATGAGTATATGGCCTACAAGCATCTAAGTGTACCTATGTCATGCAATGCCCACAAACATCAGAAGAGAGCGTCAGATCCCATTAGGGATTGTTGTCAGCTGCTATGTGGATGCTAGGAATGGAACCCAGGTCCTCTGCAAGAGCACTCAGTGCTCTTAACCACTGAGCCATCTCTTCATCCCCCCAACTATTTCTTAACCTACTTAGTACACTGAACGTGTGATCCTTCTGCCTTAGCTTCAACTCTGGGATTACAGGATTCAGTCGCCATGCCTCATCAGTTCCTATTTTTTAAAAAAAATTATTTAATATCCACATACTTAGAAGAAGCATTTCATTACATCAGCATTGATATGCTCAATAACAATTTTCTGAGCTAGGCTGCATCTCTTACAAAACTGGCTGTACATTTTTAGGTTTACAGTTGAATTGTTAGTCATACAATACTGTACTCAGTATAAACCCCTTTAAAATGAGGTTTTAACCTTTAAAAGATCTCCATTTCATAAAAGTTTCATGCAGAAAACTTCATTTTTAATGCAGTTGACATTAATATGTTTGCACATGCGTTTCTAATCTCTATATATCAGATTATTACTAGTCACAGTCAGTTACTTTCTGAGCTCCTTGGCATCTGAGCATGGATATAGTCATCAGGTAGATTTCAATGATAAATGTTTTTTACATCTACTAATTATTAAGAAGCAAATTTTTATGCTTTGAAGAATTATTAATCATTTAAAATTTTTTTTAATAGCTACATGATTAGAAGCTTTTCACTACAGCTTTAACATATTCAGTAATAAGCAGTACATCTCTTTCACAAGTGGGTACAAGTTTCTAGGTTCACAGTTGAGTTAATACAGTTATACAATATTGAACTCAGTATAAGCCCTGTAAGACATAAAATTGAATGAGTTTTTTAACCTTTAAAAAAAGATCTCCATTTCATTTTAGAACATATTATTCCTTGCAGAAAAACTCATTGTTTTTGCTATTAACACTGAGATGTTGGCACATGCATCTCTAATCTGTATGATGTATCTGATTACTAGTCATAATCGCTTGCACTTGGATCCTTGGTGTCAGTTCCTATTTTTACCAAAGAGCTGGGCAAGGTGACACATACCTTTAATTCCAGTATTCTAGAGATGGGCAGCCTAGGTTACAGACTCTGCCTCAACAAAACAAAAAATTTACTTCTTGTTCTCGGCCTGCAGCCCCTAGCCTCCTGCAGTATTTCACACAGGCTACTACTATAAGGCCTTGAACTTGCTCTTCCCTTAAGGATCTCTGCTTCCCTGATGTCTACTCAAATCCACCTCAGGGAAGCCTTCCAATTCTACGCTATTTAAATGATCCCTTTCCCTTTCTTCATACCACATCTACAGATCTTCATTGCCTTTGACCATTTTAATTTTGTGTTTTGAGTGTACTGCCTGCATACATGTTGTGCGATGCCCGAAGAGGTCAGAAGCAGCGTTATGGAGTTATGGTTGTTAGCTGCCATGTGGGTGCTGGGGACTGAACCTGGGTCCACTGTAAGAGCAGCCAGGGCTCTTGATTGCTGAGCCACTTCACCAGCCTCACTTTAAAAAAAATATTTTTATGTGTATGAGTGTATTGCCTGCATTGTGTAAGTGCACCTGTGATGTGCAGTGCCACAGAGGTCAGAAGAGGCATCGGATTCCCCTGGAACTGAAGGTAAGGCTGGTTCTTAGTCGTCACGTGGGTGCTGGGAATCAGACCCGGCTTCTGCAAGAGCAGTCAGTACTCTTAACTGCTGAGCCATCTCTCCAGCCCGTTTTTTTTTAAGACAGGGTCCCACGAGCTGGAGAGAGATGGCTCGTTTTTTTTTTAAAGACAGGGTCCCACGGGCTGGAGAGATGGCTCAGTGGTTAAGGACACTGGTTGTTCTTATAGAAAACCTGGGTTTGAATCCTAGCACCCATATGGCAGCTAGTAACTGTCTGTAACTCCAGTCCCAGGGGATCTGACAGCCTCTTCTGACCTCCGCGGGCATTGCACGACATGGGTACCACTTATTTACATGCAGGCAATACATGCAAACACTTAAAAAAAAAAAAAGACAAAGGTCTCACTATACACAGCCCTCAATGGTCTAATCACTTATTTACATGCAGGCAATACATGCAAACACACTTAAAAAAAAAAAAAAGACAAAGGTCTCACTATACACAGCCCTCAATGGTCTAATCGCTGAGCCACCTCTCCAGCCCAATTTTGTTTTTTTTCAAGGTCTTACTACACAGCCCTTACCGGCCTACAGACCAGGCTGGCCTGGAACTCAGATCTGCCTGCCTCTGCTTCCCAAGTGCTGGGATTAAAAGAGTGCACCATCATGCCTGGCCTAAATTTTATTTTAGTGTTTGAGTGTTTTGCATATGTGGACCTGGCATCTGTGAAGGCCAGAAGAAATCCTCAGATCTATGGAACTGGAGTTACAGACGATTGTGAGCTGCCATATTGGTGCTAGAATTGAACCTGGGTCCTCTGGAAGTACTCTTAGCCAGTTCTTCAGCCCCTAAAGATTTTATTTTTTAATTATGTGTGTGTGTGAATTTGTGGATATGTGAGTGCAGGTGCCTCTAGAGTCCAGGGTACAGGGAACCAAATTGACAGATCTCTATCCAACCACCAAAAATCACTTCAGTTCCAAACTAGGGATTTTAAAGATCAAAAGAACAAGGATCACACATTCAAATGTAAGTATTAGAGAAAAGGTGAGGAAATACTAGGAAGTTAACTCAGGATGGGAAAAACGTTACATAAACATATATTGCAAGAATGTAAGGAAAATAAAGAACAACTTTCTAGATCAATCCAGTTATATTTTCCACTATTATCAAAGAAAGAGACAATCCTATTTTCCAAATGAACTTTTATTTGAAATTACTCTTCCTCACATGTATCTTAGGATTCTATACTATACAATAATCCACTTAACCAATGTCCCAATAACCAAAATTCTTAACAGCAAATTATACAACAGTTCTAAGCAATAAATAAAGGTTGTCCTTCACTGATTAAGGGCATACTTAAGCTTCTGTAAATTTAACATAAAAATTATGTTTTAAGTTTGTAAGGTGTAACAAATGTAATTTCAAACACAACATGTTTTATAGGAATCTACGAGCTTTCCATCTCTAAAAAGTGACATAATTTTTAGAGTTCAAAAGTTACATTTTTTTCAAAAGAAATGTTTCATATTTTCTCCTATAGCTTCAAACTTTCTACACTCAACTATGACTGTTCCATGCCACTTCAAACAAACCTGACATGACTGAACTACTTCCTGTTATTTATCTTCCCCTAAAGAAAGTTAAAAAAGGAGTTTTTCATAAATGCAGATCTCTAATGTCTACTACAATATCTGTCACAAAAGCTTTAAAAAGATCATTTCTTTCCTCATAGTAGGGAGTTAATCCTCTGTAAAGGCAAAGAAAAAAAAAAAATCACAAAGCACAACACTGGGTTCCTTTTTAACTCAAGATGTTTAACTATTCAAAATGACAAGAACACCTTTAGGACTACAACAAAAGGGGTGGAAAACAGCAACAAAACTGGCCAAGTATAGATGCTAAATAAACCAGGTATTATGAAAAGGACTTGGAAGTATTGGAAGCTTGGGGAAATTCAGAATGGGGGCAGGGATAAAAGTCCTTGGCTGCAACCACTCCATTATCAATAGCGTCCTGAAAGAGCAAAGAATAAGAAAGAATTATAATTTGACTTGCTTAATATTTTTTCAACCACTAACAGCTACCATATACCCAAATATCATCAAATAAATATTAATTAGAATGATGGTTTCAATGCCACAAAAAAATTTTCATACTTGGGCTGTAGGAACGAGATCTTGATCTTGATCTGTACCGACTATAGTAAGGAGAAGGCGACCTCCTTCTGTAAGAAATAAAAGACTGATCAGCATACCCTAAAATTATCCCACTGAGTTAGATGCAAATAAAAACTTATCACTTAAAAAAAAAAAAAGCATACCCAAGAAGTTTTATGCATATCATAGTAAGAATACTGCCAAATGCAGATAGTCAATCTCAGCTCCCCGGGTATCATATAATATAAAATGTTATTTTATTTTGGTCAGGGGGAGTGGTGGTACATGCCTTTAATCTCAACACTCGGGAGGAAAAGGTAGGTGGATCTCCTGAGTTTGAGACTATAACTACATAGCAAGACCCTGTCTCTAAAACAATAAAGGGGCTGGTGAGAGATGGCTCAGCAGTTAAGAGCACTCACTGGCTGCTCTTGCAGAGGATCAAGGTTCTATTCCCAGCACCCACATGGCAGCTAACAACTGTCCTTAACTCCAGTTGCAGGGGATCCGATGCCCTCATCGGGCCCCCACAGGCATTGCATAACACAGGTACACTTACATATATTCAAACAAAACTCATACACATTAAAAAAAAAAATTTGTGGGGGGATTTTTCTTTTTTAGGGGAAGGTTATTTTGAAATTTTTAAAACAATTTAAAAAATATTTTTATTTTATGTATATGAGTGCAATGCCTGTATATGTGTAAGTGTACCCGTGTCATGTAATGCCTGAGAAGGACAGAAGGGGGCGTCAGATCCCCTGGAACTGGAGTTAAGGACGGTTGTTAGCTGCTTTGTGGGTGGTAGAATTCAAATGTGGGCCTTCTGCAAGAACAGCCAGTGCTCTTAACTGCTGAGACATCTTTCCAGCGCCTTGCTTTGAAAAATTTTTGTGCACATGAATGTTTTGCCTGTGTATAAAGGTGTGCCTGTGCATGCAATGCCTGAGGCCAGAAGAGGGAGGGAGTCAGATCTCCTGGAACTGGAATTTTAGCTGCCATCTGGGTGTTAGGAACTAAATCTGAGTCCTCTGCAAGAGCAGCCAGTGTTTTTAACAGCTGAGCCATCTCTCCAGGACCCCGCAAAAATTATTTTTAAGCAGTAGTGGAGACTGATTCATGCCTAGCATATGCTGGGGATTTTACTTCAAGCCCCACATCCCCACCATGTTGGGCTCAAATGATACTCCTATCTCAGTCTCCTAAGCAGCTGGAACTACCGCCCAGCCACTATGCCCAGACCAAGCTTTTCTACACATTCAACATAAATCATACAGAATAAAAATCTTAAGTTAAAAACATTACCTGTACCGGTAATCATAATCTTCATATCTGTCATATCCTCGATCATATCCTCTGTCATAGTAAGAATCTCGACGTCTGCCACCACCTCCACCACCTCCACCACCGCCTCCTCCTCCACCACCACCACTACTACAGAAGAATATAAAATTTACACATCAGCATAAATGATTTGTTTAGAATCATTTAATATAAACTGGTAGCTTTAAAAAGAAAGGAGAAAAGAGAGGATAAGAATGAACCCCCCTTTCATGCCAAATCCCTCACATCTCATTTTACTGATGTTCATGGCTTTAGCCATCATTAGGCGCTTTCACAAAACTCTCTAAACTACAAGAGTTATAAGCACTTGCTGAGTTCTGTTCCCAGCAGCCAATTAATACTGCTCTCAACTAACTGCCTCTAACTTCATCTCCATGGGATTCAATGCCCTCTTTTGAACTCCTCAGGAACCTGCACTCATGCACATGTACACACACACACGCAACACAAAACCACCACCACCACCACACAATTAAAATAGATGCATGTGGTGGCACATGCCTTTAATGCCAGCACTCAGGGAAGAGGCAGCCCACAGAGGTGAGCTGATCTTTATGAGTTCCAGGCCAGGCAGGGCTACACAGTGAGATCCAGCTTCCAACACACACACACACACACACACACACACACACACACACACACGCACGCACACACTGCCTATGCTTCATTTTTTACCTAAGGTTAGGACGCACGGACGCACGGACGCACGGACACACACCCTTAACAATCAAAATTCCCCAAAACTCCAACTCCAAACTGCTCTTTCGGTAGCACAATGTTCAATCATTATGGTGTTTCCAATCAGGCAAACTGAAACATTTTGTTGGGAAGCAGTACCAAAAAAATGTTAATATTATGCTTAAGGGTACAACCAAAAGGCAGTTAAGAAATACCAATCCTGACAACCGAGTTCTATCTCCAGACCCATGTTGTGGAAGGAGAAAACTGGCTCCTGCAGCCATGTGGTTTTCCTTGCCCCCAATTAATAATTAAAAGAGTAAGTATATGAATGTTTAAACTCTGAACACTGAAAAGAATGAATACTTTACATTGCAAGCACATCACTAAAATAATGTCAAGATTCCATGATTATACTTTTGGAGGTGAATTTAAATTTAAGCCATTTCTCTTGGTGTATCCTAGCCATAGGCACACTATGTGCGCTTACAGAATTCTGAAGGCTATTTATTTGTGCCCCAACCCACATTTTCTTCAATAAGGTTCAAATGAAATGAAACCCTGCATTGCCTTCTTTTAAGACAGGGTTCTCAATATGCAGGCCTGGCTGGTCCAGAACTTGCTATGTAAACGAGAGTGGCCCCAAATTCACGGAGATCCTGCTGTCTCTCCTCCTTGTAGTCCTTTAACACTCAAGTGAATACGTTTGTGGATTGGATATTCTAAAATTTATAGAAGCCCATACTTATGTTTTGCTCACTGTGAAAATCATGGTATTTTTAAAAACAAATGCTGATATATAATCTGCCTTACACTGAGGCCTCCAAGATCTTATAGTAGCTGAGCATGGTGGTACACCTTTAATTCCAGCTCTTGGGAGGCAAAGACAGGTGGATCTCTGTGAGTTTCAGGCCAGCAAGGGTCCCTGTCTCAAAAACAAACACGCCACCCCAAACAAAAGATCACACAGGAACAGAAGGCACTATTTACTCTATTTACTTTGGTTTTCTCAAGACAGGGTCTCACACTGTGGCTCAGGGTTGCCTCAATCTAGTAGTAAGTCTCCTGCCTCAGACTCCTGAATGCTAGAATTGCAGACATGACCCACCATGCCCAGCAATATTTAATAGCTTTTCTATTTGTATAGCACTAAAAGCCAAGCAAGTACATTGTTTATATTAACTTTTCACTTGCTCAAGTATATAAATAAAATAGTATATTTATAACTGTATTAGATCAAGATTATTCTTATTTCGTTATATATCTGTATATCTGTGCACATGTGTGCAGGTGCCCATGGAGGACAAAGGCATCAAATTCCCGTGGAGCTACAGACAGTTTTGGGCTGCCTGAATGGGTGCTGGGAAACCAATTTGGGTTTTCTACAAAAATCTTAACTACTGAGTCACCTTTCTAGCTCCCTCAAATAAATATACACTTATAAAAATAAAATAGCCCAAAGGGGGATTTTGATTAGTCAAAATTTTACACACATTTCTAGCAGATTTCTGACATAGTTTTGCAGTCTGGAGCTTGATTCCAGGCTAGCTCTCTAACACTGACCTATATGCCCTAGCTCGATAAAATCTGAAATCTTACTGAGTTGGTCTCCCCATGTAGATGCCTGGTGTAGGGGTGTGTGCTCTCTTGGTGATAGAATAATCCACACGAATTCTTCTACCATCCAGCTCCATTCCATTTGCCCTTTCCATAGCCTGTAAGGAAGAAAAAGTAAAGATCATTCATAACTCACTAATCTTGAAGCAGTTATTAGTTAAAATTGACTATGAAGTATTTATACTCCAAATAAATTCTCCCATTTTGAAGATGGTGTAGTAATGCAGTTTGTGCAGACATTTCTAGAGCTCAGTATTGTCTAAAACATACTTAATTTACAGCCCAAAGAGTAGTTTAATCAACCTTCCCTTAAGTAACTGTCTATCTGGAGCTCAGTTCTTATCTCCTACTCTATTAAGTCAATAAGGAGAGGCACATGAGCAAAGTCTTTCAAAATTTTTTTTTTAAAGACAAGATTGCTGAGCTGGGTATGGTGGCACATGCCTTTAATCCCAGCAAAGGTAGGCAGATCTCTGTGAGTTTAAAGCCAGCCTGGTCTACACAACAAGTTCCAGACTAGCTGGGGCTATAGTGAGAGCCTGTCTCAAAAAAACTCCATAAAGACAAAATATTGCTAAGTAGCCCTGGCTGGCTGAGAACTTGTGGCAATCCTTCTGCTTCTGCCTTCTAAGTGCTGGGATTACAGGTATATGCCACGCCCAGCCTAACTTGCCTCTATTCTTATTCTTCAGTTTGTAGTTCAATATATGCTTATAAGACTCAGTAAAGGGTCTGGAGAGACAGCTCAGTGATTAAAAGCACATACTGTTCCTGCAGAGAACCCACGTTCGACTCCAGCACTCATTAACTGCCTGTTACACTTCTGATACCTCTGGCTTCTGTGGCACCTGCATGTACCTCCACATACCTCCACACAGGCACACACTTACACATAATAAAAAATAAACTCATTAAGTAGCCAAGAAGAAAAAAATATTTTAAAAAATATTTATTATTTTTATTTTATGTGTATGAGTGTGCTGCCTGCATGTAGGTAAGTGTACCCATGTCGTGCAATGCCCGCGGAGGACAGAAGAGGCTGTTGGATCCCCTGGAACCAGAGTTACGGACAGTTGTGAGCTCCCATGTGGGTGCTAGGATTCAAACTTGGGTCTTCTGCAAGAACTGTCAGTGTTCTTAACTACTGAGCCATCTCTTCAGCCCCAAAGAAATAGCAATTATTTAAAGGGACACAAAAATACATTTGTGATAGCTCTTAGCCTCTTTCTGAAATTTTTTTACTTTTCATCTTTTTCAGACAGGGTCTCACTACTACTGGCTGACTTGGAACTCAGAGATCTGCCTGCTTCTGCCTTGTTGAGAACTTAAGAGACAATAAAGGCACACAATTCTAATGTAATTCAGAAATATTTCACTTTAAGCGTTCCCCATAACCGAGCACAGAGGTTTATGCCTGTAATCCAGCACTTAGGAGGCTGAAGCAAGAAGATCACTCACTGAGTTTGAGGCCAGTCTGAGCTAGAGTGAGATCCTGTTTCAAAAAGCAAAACAAAACCAAAAAGCCTAAACACTGCCCCCTAGTGAGCACCACATATAAAAGAACTTAGCCTGACAAAAAGTGCATACAGTATCTGAAGATGTCAGAAAACGGAGTTGGATTGTAAACTGCCCTGTGGGTGCTGGGAACTGAACCCAGGTCCTCTGTAAGAACAGTAAGCATTCTTAATCACTGAGCCATCTCTCCAGAGAAAAAAATAACAGAATAAATGTAAGACAAGTTTTCCATGAAAAAAGACATTGAGACAGAGTCTAAGGATGCAGTCCTGCCTGACATTAACTAGAGATTCTCCGGACTTGGCCTCCTCTTGGGTGTTGGGATTACAGGTGTACACCACAATACCTGGCATGAAAAAAAAATACTTTCTTTTCTTCCATCTCTCCTTGTTCCCAATTCCATTCCTTTCCCTTTCCTCCTTCCCTCCCTCCCTCGTTTTTATGAGATAGGATCTCATGAAACCTACAGGCTGGCCTTGAACTCTATCTATTTCTGTGTCTGTCTCCCAAGGGCTGGGATTACAGGCACAGACTTATCACTGGCTCATATCCTAACTGAAAACAGGAACAAGGAACAAAAACTTTTAAAAATATTTTATTATTTTTATGTGTATGAGTGTATTTCCTGCATGTACGTGAGTGCACCGTGTCATGCAATGCCTGCGGAGGACAGAGGAGGCCATCAGATTACCCTGGAACTGGAGTTAAGGATGGTTCATAGCCACTATGTGGGTGCTGGGAATCGTACCTGGGTCCTCTGCAAGAGCAGTGCTCTTAACCACTAGGCCATCTCTTCAACTCTACCAATAAAAAGTTTTGATATCAACAAATTAAAACACTGGCATGCCTATTAGATAATCAACTTACAAACTATGATCTAGTTTCTCAACTATTAAGACTTGGGCTTGTTGATTCTTGAGACTTCTATTCTCTGAGGACATCCTATGAATTATAGAACTGTGCTGAGACTGTTACCCAGACTGTCCTCCAACTAGTGGGTTCAAGTGTTCTTCCCACCTCAGTTTCCTCAGCAGCTCATATAGATAGGTGCCACCACACCTAGCACACTGTAGAGTATTAAGCAGCTTCTCATTTCCATGCCAATACTAGGCACTATTTTTGAAAAACACACCCAATTTTATTTTGACTGGTAAAGTTCCAACTATCAATTCATGTTTTAATTATAAAACAGAACAACTTAAATATATTCAAAAAATAGAAAAAAACAAGGTGGGGTATGGTTGTGCATGCCTTTAATTCCAGTATGTGGGAGGCAGAGGTAGGTGGATCTACTTACTAAGTTCCAGGTCAGTCAGAGCTAGTGAGACCCTATCTCAAATTAAACCAACCAAACAAAAGAACAGAAAAACAAGTTCTCCATTTGTACACAGGGAATTAGTTACAAATATAAAATTAAATAGGTTATATTGGTTTAAACAGCAATATGGTTTTTTTACACTAACTCACAGCATTCACTTTACAAGGTCAGATTTCAAGTATACCAGAAGCATAAGAGTTTAAAAAGCCAAACTAGCTACTCTGAGGCTGGAGAGGTGGTTCAGGGGTTAAGAGAGCATTTGCTGTTCTTCCAGGGAACCCAGGATTGATTCCCAGCCCCCACAAGGTGGCTGTTGCCCTCTTCCAACCTTAGTGGGCACTACACACATACCAGTATAGACACAGGCAATCAAACATTTGTACGAAAAAAAAAAAAAAAAAACCCAAAACAAAACGAGCTATTCTAACAGCAACATTTTGAACAGAGTTTGCATCAGGTGAGAGTTATAGGACATACTGTTTACAGAAATGCAGATTAGCTGATCTTTAACAGCAATGCCATACCATTATCATGCATACTGAAAACTAAACTCACCTCCTTAGAGTCATCTATCCGCTCAAAATACACAAAAGCAAATCCACGTGATCGCCCAGTCCGCTGATCATAAACCACATTGACACCACTCAATGGTCCGTATCGCGAAAATACTTCACGAAGCTCTCTCTCTGTTGTATATAAACTGAGGCCAAACACTCCTAGGCAAGTGTTGGGATCTGGATTTGCCTATTGAATAAAGGTGAAATTAAATTTTAATTAAAACTCCAATTTAAGATCAAAACATTAAAGATTTTCTTTGGAATACATTTTATAGCTTGTGTAAAAGCACTCAATTTTCAGAATGACCCTAAGAATCCTTTTGTATCCTTTGTCTTTTTTTTTTTTTTTTTGAGACAAGGTTTCCCTGTAACCACAGCTGGCCTGGATTTGCTAATGGAGACCAGAATGGCCTAGAACTCACAGAGATCCGCCTGCCTCTGCCTCCTGAGTGCCGGGATTAAAGGCGTGCGCCACCACACCCACGTTATCCTTTGTATTCTTGATACTACTTAATCTAACTCACTCTTGATACTCGCTTAATTCCAACTCACTTGGAATCATTACTTCCATCTCCTTTTTCATATTCTCTCTCATTTTATTTTTGAGACAGGGTCTGTGTAACCCTGGCTGGTCTCAAACTTAAGAGAGAGCTGCCTGCCTCTCCCTCTAGGGACTGGTATTAAAGGCAAGTGTCAGCATGCTTGCTCTTATTTTATTGAGAGAAGGGTCCATTATTGTAGCTCAGTCTGCACTGAAATCTCAAAATTCTCCTGCGTCAGCCCCTGGCATGTTGGTATTTACAGGCACGCACCACTACACCCAGATTCCATTTTACTTTATGTTTGAGATAGGGTCTCATATTCCTCATATGCTGAGGATAACCTTGAACTTCTTTCTGCTCCCACGTCTGCAGCACTGGGTTTACAGACATGTACCACCACACCCAGTTTTATGTAATACTAGAAAATTGAACCCAGGGCCCCATGCGTAACAAACATTCTACTAATTCAGCTACAACCCCAGCCCTTCTATTGTGGTTTTTAAAAAATTTTTATTATTTTTATTTTATGTGTATGTCTGTATTGCCTGCATGTAAGTGCACTCGTGTCGTGCAATGCCCTCGGAGGTCAGAAGAGGCTGTTGGATCCCCTGGGACTGGAGTTACGGACATGTTAGCTGCCATGTAGGTGCTTGGGATTCGAATCTGGGTCTTCCGGAAGAACAACCAGTGCTCTTAACTGCTGAGCCATCTCTTCAGCCCCATCAGTTCTGTTTTTTAACAGAAAGGTTACAGGTATTTCCAAACTCCAGCGCTTTGACAAAAACAATACGCACTCTTAACCACTGAACCAATGTCTTCAGCCCCCATTTTCATTCTTTAGAAGGATATCCTTTCAATGTTTCCAGGATCCAGATTTTAAACTCAGATGCTGACAGTCCATGACAGTTAAGTATCTGTATCATGTGGATGAAAGGACATACAGCAGATAAGCTTAAGAACTTTGGAGTAAAGCAAGCCTGGATGAGACCTGGACTCTGCCATTGAAAAAAAACGAAGCCAGGTGTGGGGGAACAGGCCTTTAGTCCCAGCACTCAGGAGGCAGAGGCAGGTGGATCTCAGTGAGCTGGGGCTACAGGGAGACCCTAACTTAAAGCCCCGCCCCAAGCCAAACCAAACATAATGTCTCATATCCAAATAATCTACTTCATGTAGATGTTAAAGAGCATTAAATGTATTTAATAAAAGTTATTGTATATATTTTTTGGCATTTTCTTGCCTTTTCCCTGTTAAAGTAAAACGTCTGAGTATATCTCAGTTAATGCTTTGCATTTTAATTGCTGAACACATTTCTTCCCAAATTTCACTTTATATTTTTTTTTATTATTTTTATTTTATGTGTATGAGTGTATTGCCTGCAGGTGAGTGCACCCGTGTCCTGCAATGCTGTCAGAAGAGGGCTTCGGATTCCTTCGGAACTGGAGTTAAGGACAGTTCATAGCCGCCATGTGGGTGTTGGGAATCAAACCTGGGTCCTCTGCAAGAGCAGTCAGTGCTTGTAACTGCTGAGCCGTCTCTCCAGCCCCCACTTTTTGTATTTTTATTTATTATTTTTATGTGTAGGCGTCTATTGCCCCCATGTCATGCAATGCCCATGGAGGTCAGAAGAGGGCGCCAGACCTCCAGGAACTGTAATTACAGCTGGTTGTCAGCCACCATGAGAGTGCTGAACATTGAACCCAGGTCCTCTGCAAGAGCAGCCAGTGATCTTAACTGCTGAGTCATCTCTCCAGCCCCCAAATTTCATTTTTGAAACAACTTAAAAATCTAGGAAGGGCTAGTGAGATGGCTCAGTAATATGGCTACAGAGCAAGAACCTGCCTTAAAAAAAGGCAAGCAAGCTCTTGTATCATAATCTCGGCTTGCTGAGGCAGTGTCATTTCTTTTATTAGCACACATAAAACATGAAATGTTTTCACTTTAAAAAAGTTGGCTCACAATATAGCTCTGGCTGGCCTTGAACTCACAATCGCTCCACCTGCCTAAAATGTTTCACTTTTATCTTGTATGCTAGAGCAACTTATTCAAGTGTATTTCTGGAGTACTCCTCTTCCATAAAAGCAAGGTATTATGCTATTACTACACATTCAGGAGAAAAATCAACTTTAAAATTTTTTTTTATGTGTATGAGTGTATTGCCTGCACGTATGTGAGTGTACCCGTGTCATGCAATGCCACAGAGATCTGTCATGCAATGCCACAGAGATCAGAAGAGGGCTTCGGATTCCCCTGGAACTGGAGTTAAGGGCAGTTTGTAGGCGCCATGTGGATGCTGGGAATTGAACCTGGGTCCTCTACAAGAGCAGTCAGTGCTCTTAACCACTGAGCCATCTCTCCAGCCCCAACTTTTTTTTTAATTTATTATTTTCATTTTATGTGTATGAGTGTTATGCCTGCATGTAAGTAAGGGCACCCGTGCGGTGCAACGCCCATGGAGGACAGAAGATGCTGTCAGATCCCCTGGAACTGGAGTTATGGACAGTTGTTAGCTGCCATGTAGGTGCTGGGATTCAAACCTGGGTCTTCTGCAAGAACAGTCAGCGTTCTTAACCACTGAGCCATCTCTCCAGCCCCAACTTTTATTAACTTTTATACACCTACCCTGCTGCCAGTATGTCTTCTGCGATTAGACATTGGAGAGTGACTTCGACTCCTTCGCCGCCGATATTCTGGTGTATAAGACCTACTTCGTGATCGTCTCCTGTGAGAGTGGGATCTGGATCGAGTGTAGCGTCTATGAGAATGCCTCCTTGACCTGGACCTTTGAAAGAAACAAAGTTAGGTACAAATACCGGATCATGGGGCTAGAGAGATAAGGTGGTGGTTCAATGGTTAAGAATACTTGCTACTTTTGAAGAGGACCTAGGTTTGGTTCATGGTGGCTCTTTACCATCTCTAACTCCAGTTCCAAAGGAACTTCTGGCCTCTTGAGGGTAACTGCACTCTCACATACACAGACAAACATATATAGATACTTTGAAGATGGGGAGTTATTTGGTGGGCATGGTGACAGGCCTGTAATTCCAGCTTTGGAAGGCAGAGACAGGGGATCCCCAGAGTAAGCTGTCTAGCTAGACCAGCCTTATCACAATCTCTGGTTTTGATTCAGAGACCCTGCTTCAAAGAATAAGGTAGAAGAGCTACTGAGGAAGATTCCCATCACTAACCCTGGGTCTCCACACCCACATATATACAGAGATCCTGAAGCAAAAATGTGCTTAGCTTTCTTTACATTGAAATTATAGCCAATGCTATTATTCAATATATGTAGATTTAATTACATACTTGAGTGGTCAGTAAGTCAAGGTTAGCTCCTGGGTGTAAAAGATAAACTACTTGTAGACTTCAACAAATGTATGCCTCCATGCACAGCAGACTTATGCTTACACCATTCTGTCTGTTCTCAAAATGAATAGCTGTCTTTTTTTGTGTGGAGGTCAGAGGACAAGCTTGGGTGTTATTCCTTACTGCTTGGAAGGTCACTGAGCAGGCTACATTAACCAGTCAATGAGAATCCAGGGATCTACCCACCTGCCATCTCACTATCCTTGGCTTACAGGTGCAGGTCATCTTGTATGATTTTTTACATGAATTATCGTGGCCACAAACTTAAGTTCTCATATTTATTTATTGAAACAGTCATGCTATGTAACTGAGGCTGGCCTCGAACTTGCAGTGATCCTGCAGACTCAGCCCCCCACATGCTGGGATTACAGACAACTTAATGGAATCCTCTTGCCCTTGTCTCCCGAGTACTTGGATTACAAATGTGTCACCACACTCAGTTATGTTTAGGTGTTATTTATTTATACTTTGTGTATGAATGTTTTGCCTGCATGTACATATGTGCACAATGTGGAAGACAGAAGAGGGCATTGTATCCCCTGGAACTGGAATTATAGTTGTGAACTGCTTTGTGGATGCTGGGAACTGAACCCAGGTCCTCTGGAAGAGGAGTTAGGTGCTCTTAAGTACTGAGTCATCTCTTCAGTCTCTACTTTTGTTTGTTCGCTTAATATTTTATTTGTGATTTTTATTTTATGTGTATGAGTGTATTGCCTACAGGTATGTAAGTGCACCTGTGCTGTGCAATGCCCAGAGGTTAAAAAAAAAAGATGCCAGATCCCCTAGAACTGGAGTATGGGTGCTGGGAATGGAATCCTGATCCTCTGCAAGAACAGTCAGTGCTCTTAACTGCTGAGTCAGCTCTTCAGTCTATAGTTTTGTTTGCTTTAGTTTGGCATATATGATGTGCTATGTGGGCCCATGTACAGAGGACAGAGAACTTGCACAAGTCAGTTCTCTCCTACAATTCAGGTTATCAGGCTTGATGGCATGTGCCTTTACTCACTGAGCCATTGCTCACTCACTCGCTCTGTCTGTCTATCTATCTATCTATCTATCTATCTATCTATCTATCTATCTATCTAAAATCTCTATCAATCAGTAGCAGTCTATTAACATATGTGCCAAAAGAATGATTATGAGTCTATTCTGTAGTCTGAGTAATCCCCCTGCTGTGAAGAAAGCATTTAAAATATTTTAAACATACCTGGATTTTGATCTTGATCGAGAATGGGATTCAGAGTGTTTGGAAACCCTTGATGGACTACGAGATCCTGACCTGCTCTCCGATTTTACACGGGCAGGAGTTCCCGTTGGAGATTTTGACTGAGAGCGAGACTCCTAACAAAGAAGACAGTATTACAAATGGCACTGGTCACATAGATGCCTAACACCTAACATTTAAAGTACCGTAATTATTTATATTGATTGCTCCTGAAAAACAAATGGTTAGGCAATACCCTCCAGAAAAAATTTTCAGCTCATTAATAACCCATTGTTAATATTGCTAACTGTCCTCAGTAATTCCCTACTTGAACCAGATCACCAATTTTCTATTAACTAAGTAATCATGCAAATTCATCTACAACTTGATCATACAGACACTGGAACATAAACCATACATTTACTTAACCTAGGACCCATTCATTCTTCCAGATTCTTTTAATTCTACTTCACTCTTGCTTTCTACTTCTCTTCATTCTTCATTGAGTTTTTCATTTTTCATACTTCGTGTATTCTTCCCCAATTCAAACAATTCAAAATAGCCTTAAAAATATTCAAGTGCTTCTATCTGACCAATCTTCTGTTCAATTTTTTCCCCCATTCAATTTTAATTTTCTGATCTTTAATACTTTTCATTAGCCTTCTTTTATCTTGATTTATCTTCCACATTCTTGGAAAAAACTCTTCAATTTCTTCACGAACATTAACCTTAATGGAAAAAGAACATTTAGTATATTTAAGCACGTGGGGATTATAAAACTCTGCTGGAGTTCAGAATGTTATCTACCAAATGGAAAAGCCAGCAGGTAAAGTGCAAATAACTAGTTTATTAAAAAAAAAAAAAAAAACAACAAAAAAACCCCAATTTTATAGTCTTTTAAAATGTTCAAAAGTGTAGTCTAACAAAGAATTTACTGAATTTCTCTACGTTTTTAACCATACTTTTTACCCTCCTCCCCTTTTATGTTGCATTCTAGTGCCTAAAGTGAACAATTTTGATATATGTACTTCAAACATAAATCTAACATTAATTATAACTTCCCCCCGCCTAAATAGTCATTTTCCACTATTTTATAACCTGAAGACTCTTACTGATCTTAGAATAAGCTTTCAATAAGCCAAGCTAAGAAATCCAGATACAGTTTAAAGCAAAGCATCCAAGGCCAAAAAAGCCACACACAACTATCTAAAGTCACATTATAGCACATGTGCCAAGGATCAAAGACATAAAAATTTAACAAAATTATGAACACCTTCTCCCAATTTTGGTGACTATGTTTACTCATTCTGACTAGCCAGAAAGATATGTCTTTAAAAACCAACAACCATATAAAAACTAAAGGAAGAGAAGTACAAAGTTCCTAACATTCCCCACTTTGGCTTGTACATTCCTACCCAGAAGGTACAACTATCATAATAGCTATCTTCAATTCCACCTTTTTTTGTTTTCATATACGTTATTTATGTTTACTTGCATTCCTCCTTTCAGGGACACCTATGTATACTTCAATAGGAAATACACATCTCCTTCATGGCAAAATTGGCTTTGCAAAAGTTAGGTCCACACCCAAACTATTTTCAAATAAAATCATTTAACTGACTAAAAAGTGTGTTTAACTTCAAGGAGATCCTCACAAACAAAACACAGTGGACAATTTGGTTTCTCCATCTATTTTAGACTTGGTTATTAATGTAAATAACCTCAATCTCACAAGTGTGTATGTATGTATGTATTTTTTTCACACCCATTTTCATTTATGTGGTAAGACTTACCACACACCAGTCTCTCAAGACATGTACCACCATGCTTGGTTTTACTCAGTGCTGGGGATGGATCCTAGGACCTGGAGGTAGGTAAACATTCTACCAACTGAGCTACATTCCTGGCCCCTTTCCTTCAAGTCTGATATCAAAAGACTTACTTATCAAAAACTATATCCATCCTTTCTTTCCATTAGCTACCTTAAGTCTTTCTTATTAGACTCTAAATTCCTAGACAGATGCCTGGAGCCACATTTCTAGTACTTAAAAGAAAAAAGAAATTACTAATTTTGTTTATAACTGAAGTCTCAAAACTGGTTTAGCAACTGAACAAAAGAATTTCTTCCTTTTTGGGAGCTTTCCTTTCTATAAGAGATTCCCTGGCATAATATTCACTTAATTGTTGTTCAACAGCAATGATTACAATAGTATTTGTGACTGTCTCCACAGCCTTTATTATACATAAGTTTCAGAAGGCTTTGCTCTAGACACTATAAACCTTTAGTTTTACTATAATACTTACTGAAAGTTACTTTTAAAAATTTACATTTAAAACTTTATGTGTCTTGTGAGAGTTGGTTCTCTCCCCTCCACTTATGGGTCCCAGGGATTGAACTCCAGTTGTCAGGTTGGTAGCAAGTGTCTTTACCCACTGAGCTCTCTCACTGGCTCAGAAAATTACTTGAGAATTAAAATAAATAACCTAGTAATACTTTAACTGGAGCAGAAACAAAACATCAAGGGATGGTATCTTTTTAAAAAACATCAACACATTCTTAAGACTTTCCTTTTGGGGCAGTGCTGAGGACTGACAACAAAGCTTGCTGCATGCTAGGCAAGAGTTGTGCCAGCAGCTTTGTTTGTTTGTTTGTTTGTTTTTTAAACAACCAGAGTGCCACAAATACCTAGACCAGTTCAAGGTAAGATACAGTTCTCTTAGCCATCTGTAACTCCTAGATTCTGAAATTACCATAAACAATGAATCTGAAATTAAACATGTCTCAGAAATATTTTTAGTATAATACCCAAATATGGCCATCGTCGTCATAACAGAAAGATGGTTGACAAGCATGGGCTACCACAGCTGGCTAATTTTAATTTTTAAAAAGGAAATTCATAAGGTTATTCAGAATTTGGAAACAAATTATAAGCCGGGGGGGAAAAAGCTGGAAAGAAGTAGTATCTGCGTTATTTTACTAGACCAATTTGCTGGTTTGTTTATTTATTTAATTTTTGTCCTTTTTGAGACAGGGTCTCCCTGTAGCCCCAGCTGGCTGGAACTCCCTATGTAGACCAAGCTGGCCTTGAACTCACAGAGATCTGTTCAGCTCTGCCTCCCCAGTGCTGAGATTAGCAGACCAACCTACTCTTAAAACTGTCTCATTGAAGGGATTCTACAAATTCCTCAATACCCCAACTATGGGATCCAACAACAATATGCTGCCTAGCTGAAATGGGCAGAAAGACGCATAGACTTTTATCATGGATTTTAACAGAAATCTTAAATAGGCTGCCAATCTACCTTATACTATAATCCAGAAGCCAGGCACCAAGTTCACAAAGCACAACTCAAGTTTTGGGGTTTGTTAGATGCAAATTGTTGCAAAACATGAGTAAGCAATAAGAAACTCAGTATATTATAGATGAAAGGAAAGTATGTTTAGTATGTAACATTCATTAAAAATACAAATACTATTATAACACTTTTAAAAAGTATTTATTTATTTTTTATTTTATGTCTATGCATGTATTGCGTGCATGTAGGTAAGTGCACCCATGTTGTGCAATGCCCGCGAGGACAGAAGAGGAGTTACGGACAGTTGTTAGCTGCAATGTGGGTGCTGGGATTCAAACCCGGGTCTTCTGCAAGAACACTTCTTAACCACTGAGCCATCTCTCCAGCCCCCTATAATACTTTTTAATATTAAGTCCAGGTAAATGCTACCAGGTAATAAAGCCAAATTCATATATATTCAAGTCTATTAAGTTATAATCATGTGAAACAAACTTTCTAAGTTATTTTCTTAGTATTTTATAAAAGTGATGATTTCCACAAGTACTACTGAATTTCAATCATATACTCCAAAGAGAGGAATAATGCACTTTGGTTATCCAAATGTCATTTATCCATATCCAATTCTATTAATTAATTCTACAGCTATGCTTCCTTTCTTTAGGATAAAATAAGGCACTTCTCTGTTAGGTTGACAAGCACTTCCAATACGCTTCCTAAACCAAATTGCTATTAGAACAATCTTTTTAAAACACTGTTCATAATACCAAATAATTTCACTTTAAGATCGTACCTGTCTGATGCATTATGAAGTTAGTATTTCTACCTGCAAGGATTCATAGATAGTTTTAATATTTATGTGTGTGTCTGTACATCTATGCATGTGTGTACAGGTGCCCACAGAGGCTAGAAGAGAGCATCAGATCCCTTGGAGCTGGAGTTACAGATGGTTCTGAGCCACCATGTGGGTGTTGGGAACTGAACTTAGGTCCTCTGAATGAGCAACAAGCACTCTTTAAATGCTGAGTCACGTGTATTCTCTAAAGTCTGGAAAATTTGAGAAATTTTACCACAAATGGTTCAGTAACTGACACTTATAACCAAATTTAAACTTGTGCCACAACTGAGAAGTTATCTGTAAAATCTGTAACTTGGTAAAATAAGTAAATGTTGACTATAAACCCGTCAGCTTATGTATTTTGATCAACTGTAATGTTCAAAAAGTTAGTGAAAAAATTATTTCAAAGGTAGAGAAAACAAATTTAAGGCTGGGAATGTAGCTCAATTGTTGGGAGTGCTTACCTAGCATGCATAAAGCCCTAAATTTGATACTCAGCACTTGGGTGTGGTGGCACAAGCCTAAAACCCTAGTACTTGGGAGGTCCACGCAAGAACGTCAGACGTTCAAGGTCATCCTTGGTATAGAGTAAGTCTGAGGCCAGCATGGGCTACATATCCTTTCTCCTTCTCCCAAGAAAAGTTTACATGGACTAAAGTGGCTTGAGTATATTAAAGCCAATAAATAGCAACTAAAACCCAAATTCTAAGAACCAGTTGTTATGTTCTCTACTAGTATTCTCATCCTCTGGTATCCTGAAGTATGTATGAATTAGATGACAGGGCCTTGGTTTCAAGGGAAAAAACTTTTTTCTTCTTTTCTTTCAGGTCTAGTCACTCACACCTTTGATGAATACAACAAAATAAAGACTACACATAAGTATATGTGGCAGTTCACTTAAGAAAGGGACAAGGGCAGGACTTGGAGGCAGATACTTTTAATTTCAGCACTCAGGAGGCAGAGACAGGTGGATCTCTGCGAGATCCAGACTAGCTTGGTCTAACAGCAAGTTATAGGCCAGGTGGGGCTACAGAAGACAGTTTTAAAAAAAGGGAGGGGGGCAAGCGGGCAAGCAACAAGGAACCACAATTCCTTTCACTATTGGTGTTCCAATTTTCCAGTTTACAATTTCTTCCTCATGTGATTGTTAAAAAATTTTCTTACTTCCACTTTTGTCCTACTAAACCTGTTAAGACATCTGAACAAATTATCAGTATCAATTTACTTAGCAAAGGGATATTTACGTTTTACAAAAGGTCTCAGGGCTCACTATATGATGCCTGAACACCTACTGACCGTATCAAAGGTTTCTAGTCAGGTTCAAGATAACTACTATGCTGATTACTCATGTTATTTACTGTTGGTAAACTAAGTTATAAGATAGGTAAATAAGTGTCAGTTGGCCTACAAAATTAAGTCTATGGACAGTTTGTCTTTTTAAAATAATTCATCAGGCTAGGTGGGGTAAAGCACACCTTTAGTCTCAATGTTCAGGAGGCAGAGGCAGGCTAATCTCTTAGAGTTCCAGGCCAGCTAGGGCTGCATAGTGAGACTCTGTTTCAAAAATAAAATAAAAATATTTAAATTCTGTGATAC